ACAAACAGAATGAAACTTTTCCGGTCAGTGGAGTAATGGGCTTCGCTAATCGCTCAGCCAATTACTTTCCATGGGGTCAGTGAACTTCATAATAACAAGCTGACCCAAGGTTTCTGTTATATCTACTGGGAGGGAAAAACCTGCAAACACTTCATTTTATGTAGAATAATTATTTCTAAACTGTGTTTCTGACAATTTTCTTCCTGTGAAATTAATTAGTTTGTCTTCTTTTTTGAAAGGGAAGTAATTCAAATTTCTCCTCTTTCAACAAAGACACAACTAAATCTATGTGTGTTACTTTGTAGTTCTTGTAACACTGATTCTATACAACATTTCTGTGTGAATCTGTCTAGTATGGTGTAATTTATTTCATTGGCCACTGCACTGAGTGCAATATGTTTCTTACCACAAGGACCTATATTGAGTCTATGGGGATTAAAAAAAAAGCCCTGCATGAAACCTTATGGTAACTTACTGACCCACTGTAATTTTGGCTGTACCAGGAAGTGTTTTCTTTTACTCAAATGCCAGTATAACTTTGTGGGACACTCAAACAAATTTTCAGATATGCGATGCTGTGCTGATCTGAACATTATGAATGTGGATGCACGGTGGCCAGGATCAGTGACTGATAATTTAATCTGGGAAGCCTCAACGGCCAGAAATATTGTGGAACAAGCATATTGGGAGGATAGGTGCTGGTTGCTAGGTAATACCAAATATTTGTTGTCAATGAAAGCAGTCATGGAATATAGTTCATTTACTTTGATCATTGTATTCCTTTTCCAGGCGATAATGGGTACTACACAGCTCTCTGGCTCCACGTACCTATTCTCCATGCAGAACCAGGAACGCCTCAGTTCAGATACACACAATTGCACTGCCGCAGCAGAAATGTTGTGGAAAGGTGCATAGGAATTTTAAAAGCGCGATGGAGATTGTTATCCTGTGATCGCTGCATAAACTACCGAAATGCCACATATGCTGGTATGATGGTTAATGCCTGCTGTGTCCTTCACAACTATTGCAATCAAAGAAGGGTTCCTATGCCTGATCCGCTGATTGAAGATGATGTGTATGTGCCCCCCGAACTAGAAGATCTTCCAATAGATGTGGATGTTTATTAGAGAGGTCAGGAAGAGTTGCAGTACCTTATCAACCATGCTAATCAAGTGCATCCGGCCAATGGCGATCTTGCTTAGTTTCAGTGATGCTTTCAATTTTGTCAGTTGACTTGCTTCATTTCTAATGTTACCACCTCCAACTTTTCACTTTGATTTACTCCTATTTCTTCTACCGGAATACTTTTTTTCATATTTCATTGTGCCGTTACTATTTTCTTAACTATTTTTGTGTACTGTTCAGTAATTTCAAAGTATTAATGCATTTGAAGAGTAGTCTGCACTGACCAAACACCCTTAGAATACTGAAACCAATCATTGTTCACAATTATTTTTGTAGATGTTTATGTATTCAATCTCTCCTAACTCTGTTGAAACTCTCTCAAACTGACACGTTTGTATGATTTACTATCTAATAGGACAAGGTTGTAATGGAAGTAAATAATGTGTATTATGTAGTGAGTTGTTAAAATTTAATTCATCTTGAATTCTCAACAGCTCAAAATTTCAGTCACTAGTGATTCAAGTAAGAGTAGGATGGCTGTTACATGCAGGATAATATATTCATGTAAGATCTGAAACTTCAAAGTCTTTAAATAGTAGCTTGCACAGTTATGCCAGTGCTTTCAGTAGAGGATTGTCCCTGATATGGGGGGCTTATATTCCATTGATTTTCACAACTTTTCTTTTATAGCTTTAAGCTCTAATATAAGAGGCACTATATGGCATGCTCAGTAAATAAATCAATTGATTACAGTAAACTATATAGAGAGAAAAACAAATGTTATGAAAGTATTATATATCACAATATATTGGTAAAATAATGCAAGGACAGCAATAGGTTTTTTTCATGGAGCTTTGGTTATCCATTCTAACGACGTCTTCTCAACTGGTCCTTATTAAGTTCTATCACATATGCGGGTAGCTTGTAAGTTAGGTTCTGTTACTTCATTTGAGATTATGTAACAGAACTGAAATCGGATTGTAAATAGTGTAGATTACTTTGAGTTCTGAACCGACAGGAATGTAATGGGATTAAATATAAATCACAAGAATTTAATGGTCTCCTTTTATTTCACTGAGACGAAGTAAACAGAAAATTGTGACACACAAAGTTCAGTAACTTACATCAAATAACAAAACAAAGTCACACTTGCTTAACAGGTATTGTTCAATGATGCTCACATTGAAAGATGAACTCAAGAACTACATGCAAGTAAAATGCATACAATACTGTTCAAAGAAACTAAAACAATGATTGAGTTGGAGATCAGTCTTCAACACTTAATTATGTTGAAACATTTAAGACAACACGAGTAAAACTAAAATCCAAGATGACAAAATAACTAGGTAGATGTACGCCAGACCACGTCTCGCGTAACAGG